TTCGTTTTATTACTGTTACTTTGCCAGTTTGGCTATTGAGCATTTCACCCATTTTAAAACCTTTCATATGACACCCATGTCAACTATTCATATAAAAAAATGCTGTTAAGTGGTGTTAACATAATCGTGATGGACCGGGATGGTGTTCATGTTCATCTCCGTTCAAAGACCTTTCACATGATACCCATTTTGACTATACTATGTAAAAATGGTATGAAGTCCATTGTGGTCGACCATCGTGTTATAACACCATTTTACATCACTTACCATGGGAAAATCGTGTAAAAACAGTAAAAAAAAATTATAGAATTTTTTTTTTTGATCGAAAGATCCAAGGGGGGAACCTTGGGTAAAATTCCATGATATACCAAAAGTACCAGATAGACTGGTCCAATTCGGTCCAACTTCTGATACATTCAAGATATTTATATAAGACACCACGTTGCAAAATTTAAACAAAATCGCCCAAGAGATTCGAAAGTTATCGTGTATACAAGGAATTTTCGTGGGTTTTTCGAAACAGTAAAAAGGACATCAAAATCGTCCATCGTGGTGAGAACACCATTTAACACGGCTAACATATAAAAAACAGCCAGCAATAGCCAGAAGATGCATTTTGAAGCAAAAAAAGTAATTAAAAACAGACCATCATGGTCGGCCACCGTGTTAAAACATCGTTTAACACGGTTTACCACGAAAAAATCGCGAGGAAGACTAAGAAATAACCAAAAAAATGCATTTTTTTGTGGTGAAAAAAAAAAATTCCCGAAAAAATCCAAGGGGGTACCCTTGGATGAAAATCTATGATGTAGCAAAAGTACCAGATGGACTGGCTCAATTTGGTTCAACTTCTGATACATCCAAGATATTTACGTAAGCTACCTCCTGGCCAAATTTAAGCAAAATCGCTCTACTATTTTGTAAGTTATCGTGTATACAACGAAAATTTAAAATTTTCACGACGATCGCTATACTTTCCTTCACACTTCGTGTGCGGAAAAGTAAAAACGTGTAAGTCTTGAAGTATACTCACGTTTTTCCAATGAATATGTTTTACGCACACGCGCGTTGGTGTTCAAAAAGATCACCAGCTTGGCTGTTTTCAAAGGAGATTTGAAACAGTATACACATCTCCAAAATTTGTTGTATGCTGATCCAACTGTGGACAACGACAGCCCAATTGATTTGTTATTGAGTGTGGCTGATTACACTCGAATTTTGAAAAATGGGCTGATTAAAGGAGCTGATGACGAACCAGTTGCCCAAAATTCAGAATTTGGATGGCTTGTTATGGGTCCGCAACGTGAAGACAAGAAAGAAAATCTTAAAGTAACGTCGCTAATTTCGAATTTGGAAATTGAAAATCAGTTGAAAAAAATTTCCACGGCTGAAAATATTGACAGCGAAGATGAAAACGAAGATGAAATGACTGCAGAGGAGCAGTATTGTGAAGATATTTTTGTAAAAACGACGAAAAGAGAAGCGGATGGGCGTTTTGTCACGTCGATTTCATTTAAAGACGGACAAGAGCCAAAGTTCGGTGACTCAAAAAAAGCAGCGTTGGCAACTTTATTTCAATTAGAAAAACGCTTCGAAAAACATCCAAATGTGAAGCAACAACATGTGGAGGCAATGACCGAAGCAATTGCGAGCGGTCATATGGAATTAATGGAAAATGTGCCAGAGCAGGCATATTACGTGCCTCACCATGCAGTTTTAAAACAAAGTTCAACGACTCAATTGCGACCGGTGTACAATGCATCGAAAAAATCATCAAATGGATTATCATTAAATGAACAAGTTGCAATAGGCAAAATGGATCAACCTGACATGTTGACAATTATTCTTCGATGGCGAATTTTTAAAATTGGAATTTTAGCTGACTTGGAAAAAATGTATAAGGAAGTTAAAATTCCACCAGAGCAATATCATTTGCAGTTGATATTGTGGCGTGGAAATCCAAACGAAAAAATCAAAACGTATGCGATGACAACAGTAACATTTGGAGTCGCACCGTCACCGTATTTGGCAATTAGGCTGAGTCCAAATGCTCGGCCATAAATTTTATGGCCGGCCAGAAAAATTCAAATCCGTCTTTCGGCGTATGTAGGTGAGTTCGTTATGTCAGGTTATTTAATTCTAGGCTATTACAAGCAACTGGACTCAAATCCACCAATAGCACTGTGCGACAAAAAAAGTCAAAGTTGCCTAACCCAGAGCGGATATATCAAAGTTTGGAGAGGCCCATGAGACATGAAAACCCTCAAAAGGGTTTTGTCGAATTGGTTCCATATAAGAAAATTATGGTCATTTGAAAAATTTGCTTTGCAGAGTATTTTCAAAATTTACTTTTACTTGGTTTTTTGCTTTTTAATGCAAATCCATGTGACGAACGGGTCAAAAGTAGTGAAAAATGACCAAAGAACCTCAAATCAGCAATAAAACATAGCTACTTCGGACTATTTTTGGGTCCAAACAGGTAAAAGTATCATTTTTCGTATATCTATGGGTGAGATTGAGAGTGGAGTATGTTTCACTGACTTTGTTATGAAAGAGAAGAGCAAGTTTCTTTCGACTCAAAAATGGTTAAAGGCAAGTATGTTCATTTTTGGCGGGTCCTCGCGGTTTTCCACGGTTTCCGCGCAGTAAGATGCGTAAAATATGGTCAATTTTGTGAAGAAAATATGAAAATTTGTATGGGAGGTACCCGTAAATCACTTTCGATTGGCTTCAAAATTCCAGGGATTGAGTTTTTTGGTGAAAAAATAAGATACAGAAAGTTTCGTGACATTTGGAATATCACAAATGGGTTTTTTCTACATAAAATCTCGTTTACCAATCTATATCTTGCGCTGGCCTACAATTCTTAAAAACATACAAAAGATATGGTTTTTTGTGCTTAATTTGAGTCTTACTAGAGGTTTTAGATAAAAAAGCTGCCAAAAGACGGGATTTTTCATGACAATTTTCCATAAAATGTGAAAGTTAGATACTGAGGGTTCCCATAAAATCATATTTTTGCATATTCCGACTCAAAAATGGTTCAAAGTGCTTGCTTCTCATACTGATTTACGTTTTTTTATTGATATACTTCGAAATTTTGCGTGAAAAATACTTAAATTGCGCATTTGAAAGTTAAATTTTGAGGATATATACGAAAAATGATACTTTTACCTGTTTGGACCCAAAAATAGTCCAAAATAGCTATGTTTTATTGCTGATCTGATTTTATTCGGTCATTTTCCATTACTTGTGACCCGTTTGTCACATGGATTTGCATGAAAAAGCAAAAAACCAAGTAAAAGTAAATTTTGAAAATCCTCTGCAAAGCAAATTTTTCAAATGACCATAATTTTCTTATATGGAATCAATTCGACAAAACTCTTTTGAGGGTTTTCATGTCTCATGGGTCTCTCTAAACTTTGATATATCCGCTCTGGGTTAGGCAACTTTGACTTTTTTTGTCGCACAGTGTTATTAGAAAGAGGCATCATTCAGCACAGTAAATCCCCTTACGCATTTCCGATAGTGTTGGTTCCGAAGAAAGATGGTACTAAACGTATGTGTGTTGATTACAAACCATTGAATAAGATCATGGTCC